CTCTCTCTCTCTCTCTCTCTCTCTCTCTCTCTCTCTCTCTCTCTCTCTCTCTCTCTCTCTCTCTCTCTCTCTCTCTCAGGGATGAAAATGGACGGGCTAGATCCAAGGGATGAAAATGGATGGGCCAGATCGAAGGGATGAAAATGGATCGGCCAGATCGAAGGGATGAAAATGGATTGGGTAAATCCAAGGGATGGAAATGGACTGCGTCACCACGTCCAGTGATGAGTTAGATCGCTGAACTAATGTGAGGATGTGAACTTGGCAAAGTAAGAGGCAATGATTATGACGAAAGGGAGTGGGGAGTTTACGAAGTCGTTTTTTGAGAACTGGAAACCAAATGAGCAAAAAATTGAAAAAAAAAAAACATTTTAAAATTTAATAGAAACTTGGGCGTATCTGTGATTAAAAAAGGCGGAAGGAGCGGTTTGCTGAATTGCAGGGTCTCCCATTGCTCTTTCAGTGCCCAAAAAAAAAAAAAAAAAAAAAAAACTTGAAAAGAGAGGGAAATAAGACCAAAATTGTCAGTGGTGGCAAAATTGTCAGACCCGAAAAAAAAGGGAAAAAAGAAAGCAACCAAAAAAAGTTAACAAACACAAAAGGTGAACCACAAGCAACTTGATGAAGGAAGGTGGGTAGACAGAGGCAGTGAAGATGATTTGAAGATAATATGATAAACTTTTTTTTTTAATGAATGGCAGAGATGGAAAAGAAATGGGAAGGTAGGAACTTGGAAGGGTTTTTATTTTTTTCCTGATTACTTTTTTTTCTTTTTGTTTTCTGCTCATATGACTTGATCTGGATTCGAACTTGAGTCTGTATTTCAACAGTTCATGGGTGTCGCAACTGAGATATACCCGTCGTTACAGAAGGGGCCTGATCACTAGGATTGGCTTTTACCATTTTATGAAGTTCTATAATTCTATTCAATAGACAACCTTCTCTTATAGGAGCAAATCAATGCTATTGGAGGTTTCCCTGGCCATAACAAGGGGAAGTATAGTGTGGGTACCAAATTTGTACCAATCTAGGCTACCAGAGTGGCCCGGGACCACTTGCCCAGCCGGGCCAAAAAAATATATATATGTATATTGTGACAATATATATATACATATTTTATATATATATATATTATATTGTATATACATATATTTATATTGTCACAGAACTATTGACTAAGAGCATAAGCACGTGAAGTAGAAGAAGAAATCAGATGAGCGAAGAAAAGAAAAATGAAAGGACAGACAGGCAAAGAGACAGACAAACTAGAATTACACAAAACAGTGTCCTCTTCTTCTTTGTTTCACTGTATTGTGACGACCTGACCAAACACGGACTGAGACACACAGCTGATTTCTGAGTTTTGCTCATGGACTGAATGCCTTGTTGAGTTTCCCGCTTGCTACTGAGTTCTCTAAGTCTGTGTGTGTGCACGCTTGCTGGTCTGCATGTCTGTCTGAGTGCTTGTCAGCTTGAGTGTGTGTGTGACCAGCAAGGGCATTTGTTCGTTCATTGGGGCCACAGGGCCGGGACTTAGCTGTGGCCGTGACATTGAGGATTGCAGCGGGGAAAACACTCACGTGGCGGGGAAGGAGGCATATATATTGTCACACTGTGAATCAGAGCGCGAAGGCAAAAAAAAGCAAAACAGGGAAAGGAAAAGAAGTAAGGAAGGAAAGCCCCACTTGTTCATCACCTCTTACGTACAAGGCCAGCCACGTGGATGACAGGTTGAGCGCTGGCTGCCCCCATCCCCGTGTGTCACAAGGACCCACTTGCACGCAGCCAAAAGGCAAAGAGGTAAAGAAAAGGAGGAAGAAACCAGAGCTCACAGAGGCAAGAGAAAGAGAAAGGGATCCAATCAAAGAAAAGACAAGGGAAGAAAGCAAAATGACACATCCCACATATAAACCTATTGCCATTGTCACTACAAGGTTCAACATATTCTTTTATTTTTTTCTCTTTCTTTTTTCTTGTTTTCTTTTTCTTTTCTTCAGAAATTTGTACTTTTCTTTCTTTCTTTTTTTCTTTTTGTTTCAATTTTTTCTTTCTTCTTTCTTCAACTCCACACCTGTCGCTCCTGATCGCTTGATTCTATTGATCATTCAGGAAGAGGAGCCCACACCCCGGCAGATAGGACAGGCACGCTGAGGATGACGTGGATGTTCACAAGGATACCCAAGGAGAGCTACTTCGGCATAGCATTCAGCAGGACGGCTAGCACGGACCATCCCATCAAAACAGTCCTGACAAAGGACATGCTGTCCACATGTCAAAAAAACAGCAGGACGCTCATCACAGTGCAGCATCATGCAGTCCTGATAGCGTCCTTGAGCACAAAAGGGACAACGAATATCTGGGTGATAGGGATGTGTACAATGAGGAAATGTTGGACACCCTTCGGCACAGACGGCGGCGGCTGCAATAGATTGATAATGTTGATGGCATAGGTGATGAATTCCGCAGCCAAGAAGCACCGCGTACCTGTCCCGACAGGTGTCACATGAGAGTCGATCAATAATCCAGAATAAAGT